CACACATTCCTTGCTGCTTCACTTCAATTTATGGAGGAAAACAATACAAGAGACATCGAGAAATGCGGGCATAAACAGGAAACCCTTTGGATATCTGTCGATGTGCCTAAAACAGACTAGACTTGGCGACCTTGGTTGCACTGCGTCCTCTTACAAGAAAGAAAAGTAACAAATCGTGTTTTGTAGTTATTACAATAATACGTCGGCAAGTCTCTGGCGTAACGATATATGCCATGTTCTGAGTTCGTTTCAGAACAAACGGTTGAATATGCTGAGGTTGTAACTTAACCAAAGCGAGTCTAGAATGCCAATGAACATGACAGACATGAAAGTACGTGCCTTGATGTGCTCGTTACATTTGATTTCGTGTTCATTTGCGCTGAACGGAAATATGCCCCGTAGAACGACACTCGTGACTTCGCTCTTTGTAGAACAGTGATGGTGAAAGTGAAAATAGGATTACATGCATTTTTGATGCAAATTCTTCACGTTTGGAGGATGAGGCAGAGTAAGCGAAGACGGGTTTTCCGTCCTCAACAAGGACACTCGTTCAACGAATCTCTTTATCTTCGCGATGGCAGAGATGTAAATGTGTGCTCAACGATGGGGTCTGCTCCATTGATCACGGGCACAACACTGTAACGGTGACTCGCGTGAGACTTTTGGTGCAGACGTGAGGATCTGTCGTGATTCGTCCACCATTACTTGCATGTGATTCTGCTCACAGCGTGATCTTCTTTCATGCCTAAATCGGCGTCGTAAAACTAGACTTTAGACATGCATGCCCATGCCAATTCTTGTGATTTCCATGGTAGTAATATTTGTTATCATTCCTGCTGTGTAGACGGCTCAAGTTTTTGCAGTGACGGCAAACAACAGGTTTTGCAGATACACTTATACTGGTTCAGTGTTCCTCTAACCTTTCTTACGAGCATATGGAATGATGCAATCAAAGGGGTAAAACCGATATATTCCACAGAAAATTATCCCGAAGATTGTAGTACCTTGGACAGCAGGTTTGCCACTCGAGTCTTCGGGCAAGATAGAGGACTACTAAATTACATGAGATGGAACATGAAAATGTTTAAAATCATGTGTTAACTACTGTTAGATGTGTCTACAGAAGATGAAATGAAAAAGTCTAACCCTAAACCGATGCCCTTCCCAGGCCCACCACACATACAGAAGTTAAATCGAGTGTAATTTCTGTAAATTTGGATGATTGTGATTTGGGCCACTGCAGTCAGGGGCGTAGCTTTTTTAAGGGTAGGGTTTGGGATGGTTCACTCCCAATCCTGAAAAAAACGCCAGTTCGCAGAGCAAATCTGCTAAGAATAATTCTCGAGGGCAAATCATAAAAACTTAGCAGTTAACATATCCAATATAGGGGAAAAAATATTACTCCATTTTAAAATCGGAAAAAAACAAAGAATTTCAATTAAATGAACTTCAGGAGAATGATGAAACTTGATGTTGGCTGTGAAACCAAATTTGATACTGACCAGTATATTGAAGATACTTCATATAAGAGTGATTTTTTTCTTTCCTGCTTAAAAATGGCAGGACAAAATTCCTTAATCCCCAAATGATTTTATGAAGCAACGTCCTTAATCACGGTGTTGTTGGAAGTTATGTGTGCATACAGCATTGCAACAATGGAGTCACCTTAGGTTAAACTAAATTTTCAGGCCGAAAAGCAACATAAGAGAGAGTTCGAACGGAATTTGTTTCTCATGAACTCACACTATCACTTTAAAGAACCATGCAGTCAAAGGTACAATAGTCGTTGAAGACAACACACACGTATAATGTGTTGTATATGTATATAATATATATATATATATATATATATATATATATATATAATATATATATATATATATATATATATATATATATATATATATATATATTGTGTGTGCGTGTCTTTATATATATATATATATATATATATATATATATATATACATATATATATGTGTGTGTGTGTTTATGTATGTATGTATGTAAAGATACACATGCAGAAAGGTGGTTGGGTAGATATGTTAAGAAAGAAAGAAATATGTGTTATAATCACCACATTCCTTATTCGTATTGTTACTATCTTTATTATTTTGCAATCAGTTTCATCTAGTTTATTCTCTTTATCGTTGTCACAATTCTTAGTACTTGAATTATGAGCATTGTCTCAGATTTTTACCAATAGTTTCATTATTTTAGTTATTAGAGCCACTGCCATATTATAATCTTTATCACTCCGGCCACTGCTGCTACTACTGCTAGTAATAATGATTATAACAATATTACTACGACTGCTGTCATTACCACCAACCACTGTAAACTGGTCCTGTAAGCGGTAGTGTGCAGGCAAGGTAGAGTCTGGCAGGATGCAGTAATCTTCGGTAGGAGGGAAGGAGTTGCAGACGCCATGGTAACTTAGTAGTTTATTGATGAGAGATACATCTGATGGGCAGAGATTCAGCCTGGTCAGATTGCTCTACCTCACCACCACAAACCTCACCAGCACCACCATCGGCTTCTCCACCACCGCCTTCACAACAACCACCTTCACCACCACCATCAATACCACCTTCGCCATCACCATTGTCACCACCACCACTACCTTCAGCACCATCACCACCATCTTTACCACCGCCATTACTACCATCACAAACTTCACCAACGCCATTAACTTCACCACCATCACCAACACCTTCAACACCACCACCTTAACCACCACTAAAACCTTCGCTACCACCACCTTTACCACCAACAACACTTTCATCACCTTTACCACGACCATCACCGCCACCACCACCAACTTCACGATCACCACCACCACTATTACTAATGACAGGTAAAATATTCGGCCAAACTTCATGGAGTACTCAGTTCTAGAGATGATCGGAAAAACGAAACGCACCACACACTCATTCACGGAAATAGAGTCGGCTCCATTTCCCCCTTGTACCTCCATTCCTTGCTTCCATTTCCCTCTCAGGCGCGGTGGATAAGGTAACGATTATTTTATGTTAATGCTCTTGTATATCATTATTATTTTTGTTTAGAACCGCCCATCTATTCATCCTACACTTCCCTGTGCATCTGGGCAAGCTATGGATAATGTACCTACCAACTTTTTTTTTTTCAAAAACTACCCAAAATATTTAAGCACGCACGCACACACACAAACATACACACGGGCACGCGCACACGGTGTAAATCGATTCATAATAATAATAATGATAATAATAATGATAATAATAAAAATGATAATAATGATAATAATAATAATAATGATGATAATAATAATAATTATTATTACAACTATTATCAATAGTAGTGGTTGTATTTACAGCCATAGTAGTATCATAATCAGTGGTATCATCTTCATTTCCATTGTTAATAACATTCGTATTATTGTTAGTGATATTACTTTTATCATTGTTATCACTATTGCCACTGTTATCATTATGATTTTATAATTGCCATTATCATTATGACTGTTATGTGTTAATATTATGATTATCAACATCAATATCATTATCGCCACTTATTATTATCATCACTAATATTATTATAATTATATTACCGTAACTGATATTTATCATTATGATAATATAATTCCCATCGCTTTAGTTTTCTGGTCATTCTTTGCATTAAACTCTAAATTATCTGTCCCACTTCGTTTGCTGTCATCTTTATCACCATATCAAAACCTGTGAGGAGACAAATTAATGTGTAGCCAATAAACGCGTTAATGATTGATATGATCAGCTCTTTATGTGCACGTCTCTTACCGATCTGCGAACCTCCATGAGATCCATCAGTAACCATCGAATGAAAGATTACAGGAGCGATGAAGTGCCTACGAGCGTTCACGTGATCAGTCTTATACATAGGTAATTGGGGTTGATTAAACGCACCTTTGCATGAAAGCATATCAATACACAAACACACACGTATGCTCGTATGTAAGCATTGTTATGCAAACGTATGCGCGCAAGCAAACATGACATATATGAACGTATGGATGGACGCACACATAGATAATAGCTCGCAACGCGGCCTCCAAGCATGCATACTAGTTTTTTGGGCACAAGGAGACATACTTCAGATATATGTCATAAGATATTCATGTGCAGAGAGATGAGAGACTGGGAAGGACTACCGTAGACATACCCCAGCTGTTGATCATGCTCGCAAAGAACAGGAGGGGGCTTGGTGCGTCTCGTCCGGGGCGGGGAGGGGGGGGGTGTTCTCTTTGGCCACGAATGCGAGAAGCTCGGGCAGTAAGACCGCCTTGCAATGTTTCTCTAAAGACTGTGTTGCGTGGATCATATAGTAATTAGGTAGTACAATTACCAATCAACATCAGTTGAGTAAAAGTATTTTTGTCAGGCATAATGCGTTCAAATGATATGTCACGGAGGCTCTGGTGAACAACTGATTTGAATTCGATATGTATTAAAATCTGTAGAATATGGGTATTTGCCGCAGGACTGCATTGCCTTAATTAAAACCATGACACGGGAATTTTGGTAGCGTTCCGGGACACCTATCGTGAGCCAGGCAGCATATCGGTTCCTAGATAGAAACCAAGCTGAAATATGTACTTCGCCAAAAAGTGAAAAAATATTAATGTCCTCAGAGATGACTGCTAATCCTTGGTCTCGATCCCAAGCCGAGCGAGCAGCAGA